CAACAATTTCCTTCGGGATAAATAAAGTTCTTTCTTATCTGAGAGGTTGTTGGTATGACTGTGATTTGTGTCTTTTATTTTCATTTGTAATATTTTTATTGAAGACACATAGAAAATAAATTTGGTACATTGATAGGTTAGATTGAACAGTTCCAAGCTACTAGTGTTCAGCTTAGTCTCTACTATTGTTCATCAATTGACAATCCATACATAGAAGATCTTCACTTGAAGGCGTACAATATTTAAACCACAATTATAACTACTATAAATACCAACCAACTATGTGCAATATATATATATATATATATATATATATTGCACATATGCCGTTAATAAGTGTCTAATATATACCTGGCTGCTAAATCCTCAGAACTGTTACAGATGTGTATTTTGTAAATTGTGTAACTTTTTATTATAACTTTTTGTTTTACTTTAATACTTTGTATGCATGCTTCTAGGTAACATTAAGCTGTCTTTGTCTCTTTTCTGCTGTAACTATGTACATTTCCCCTCTGTGGGACGAATAAAGGTATTCTGATTCTGATTACCAAAACAGGCCATGGAGCCAAAATGTAAGAGAGTGTTGTACAGACTAACAGGACTAAACTAAACTAAATACAAAAAATTAAAAGAATAATTGTGATTTGTGTGTTTGTCCAGGATCAGAGTGCTGCTCCTTTGCAGATCAGGACGATTTAAAGTAATCAGATTACTCCGCACCGACAATACAAGCGCTCACCAGCAGGTGCAGTTTGAAGTCCTTTCTGAGGGAATGGGCTTCAAAACCGTGGAGGAATTCAACAAAGGCTTTCCCCACATGCTGCCTCTCACTGTGACGGCGAACATGCAAGGAAAGAGGATCCTGGAAATGAGAACGATCTGACACGTTGTTTATTTTCGGAATCGCTGTTTGCTTTGAGTCATGTTGAGAGGTTTCAATACTCTCCAATCTCATGTTTTACTAATAAAGAGATTCTGTTAATCCTGTGCTTCAATAAATTGGTCCTTTTATTTGCAATTGGTGGATACAACTATGGATGTTCTCACAGCAGTTTAAAATAGATATTAAAAAGGGAATTATGACCCTTTTTTTCCTATCTCAGTTTTGAGATTCTCCTCGCTGGAACTGGAAACAATAAATCCAAAGAGATCCAAAAATATCATGAAAAAAGCTTTATTTCTACTTGACTTTATTAAAAAATATCAACAAATTGATCAGGAAACATGCACACTAGGGATGTTAAGATTCACTGATTCGCATCGGTGCACCGGCATAAACGTTCAAAATGTGAGTGCCCCGGGTGAAGGAGTGCACATCGGTTACAGTTGAACTCGCGATGCATCTATTGTAGCGTCTTCGGTAAAAAAAAAATTCATTCATATAATATCCTCTCATCCTGTCAGCGCTCAGCAGAGACGATCTTTGATCTTTGCTTCGCCACTACGGAGGAGCCATGTCACAGTTATCAACAAACATGGAAGTCAACACTCTGGATTTTTCCTCAAAAATCTGTCTTTTTCCTTAAAATTCTGACTTTTTCCTCAAAATCTGACTTTTTCCTCAAAATCCTGACTTTTTCCTCAAAAACTCAAAATCCTGACTTTTTCCTCAAAATCCTGACTTTTTCCTAAAAATCTCAAAATCCTGACTTTTTCCTCAAAATCCTGACTTTTTCCTATAAATCCTAACTTTTTCCAATAAATCTCACAATTCAGTTTTTTCCTCAAAATTCTGTATTTTTCCTCAATATCCTGACTTTTGCCTCAAAATCTCAAAATCCTATAAATCTCAAAATGCTGACTTTTTCTCAAAATCAAAAATTCTGACTTTTTTATATAAATCTCAAGATCCGGACTTTTTCTCAACATTCTGACTTTTTCCTCAATATCACAAAATTCTCACTTTTTCCTCAAAATTCTCACAATTTTCTCAAAATCGCAAACTTCTGACTGTTTCCTCAGACATATTCTAAAGTAATGCTCATATGGATGTAGCTTAAATGTATTTGTTGTTTTGAGTCTTTGTGTAGCTCTCTTTTTGTCCTGATCCATTTATATAAAAACCTGTCTGAAAATCAGCTGACCAGATTTTGGTCATTTTTTGATGTCACTATGTTTCTTTGAGTTGTGTTACCATTAGCCAATCAGCAACCAATCCAGCTTTATAATCCTGAACGTCACCAAGCTCTGGTCCCAGCTGTGTGCGTCACTCTTTAGTGTCCCCTGGTCTCCCAGCTGTGTGCGTCACTTTTTAGTGTCCCCTGGTCTCCAAGCAGAGCAAAGACCTTTCAGTCAGAGACGTCCTTCTTCTTAACAACATGAAGCCCAATGAGTACTTTAGGAAAGTGTATCTCAACTCAACTCAGTTCACCAAAATCACCAAGGTGGTTTACTCAAGGACTCAAGTACTGTACTTAGTAGGGGTGGGAATCACCAGGCTCCCCACGATATGATACTATCGCGATACTTAAGCCACGATACGATAGTATTGCGATTCTACGATATGCTAAGTATTGCGATACGATATATTGCGATATTGCAGATCACATGGGTCATTAAAACATGTATTTGCAATATGAATAGTTTATGTAAATAACCCAATGTGTGTTCTTTGAACCTGAAAAGGAGATGGCATTGTTTTTGTTACTTTCATTGCGATTGTATACATGTCTTAACGTAACTTCCTGTTTTATATAAACATGATTTTATTTTGAAGGCGACTTTGCGCTGTGATGCCTGTGGGTCCATCAGTGGAGAGGGTGTGGCTGTCCTGTCTGTGCTGCATTGATTGCACTGATTGCAGTAACTCAGGGCATCTGGGTCTGGTGCCCTATTTAAAGCCTCTCTGCTCCTCTCTGTGCTCTCTCTGATTTTCCCTACAGGCCTCCGGTTTTGTTGAGTATATGCTGTTGTTACTTTAGTTGCTTTACTTTGTGCACCTCAACACCCTCATACATACACGTCCATGCAACCCTCACCCTGCATTTACACTACTGATACCACTGACGTCCACACCTCATGCTTTACTTATTGTTGCACTTCATTTGATTTGGCTAATTTGAATTGTTTGGTTAAATAAACATATTTTAGTAACAGTTGATATGGTGTGTCTCCTCTTTGTTGTGGCCTTTTGAGCCGGGTCGTAACAGTGCTATTAGCAGAAAGTTCGGCTAAATAACCAACCAATTCAGCTTTATAATCCTGAACGTCACCAAGCGCTTCAGTCCTAGCTGTGTGCGTCACTCTTTAGTGTCCCCTGGTCTCCCAGCTATGTGCGTCACTCTTTAGTGTCCCCTGGTCTCCCAGCTGTGTGCGTCACTCTTTAGTGTCCCCTGGTCTCCCAGCTGTGTGCGTCACTCTTTAGTGACTCTTTTTAAAATGTATTTGTTTAGCAGCGATGAGCAAACAAACTGACTCAGGAGCAGTGACACACACACACACACACACACACACACACACACACACACACACACACACACACACACACACACACACACACACACACACACACACACACACACACAGTAAATACATTATTTATCATGTGTTACATTACATTGCATTTAGCTGACGCTTTTATCCAAAGCGACTTACAATAAGTGCATTCGACCAAGAAGATACAAACTTGAAGAAAACATCATGTAATCATATAAGTACATCAGGTTTCATAGAGCCAAAACATTTCAAGTGCTACTCAACTGGCTTTAGATAAGCCAGTCCTTTATTAGTATAGAAGTGCTTTGTTAGCAATTCTTTGTTAGTAATTCTATCGCTCGAAGTGGAGTCGAAAGAGATGAGTTTTCAGTCTGCGCCAGAAGATGTGTAAGCTTTCTGCTGTCCTGATGTCAATGGGGAGCTTATTCCACCAGTTTGGAGCCAGGATATCAAACCCAGGTGTTTTTGCTGATGGGAACTTGGGTCCCCCTCGCAGTGCGGGTGCAGCGAGCCGTTTGGCTGATGCAGAGCGGAGTGCACGTGCTGGGGTGTACAGTGTAACCATGTCCTGGATGTAGGAAGGGCCAGATCCATTCACAGCATGGTACGCAAGTACCAGTGTCTTGAAGTGGATTCTAGCAGTTACTGGAAGCCAGTGAAGGGAGCGGAGGAGCGGCGTGGTGTGGGAACATTTAGGAAGGTTGAAGACCAGACGAGCCGCTGCATTCTGGATGAGCTGCAGAGGTCGGATGGCACATGCAGGTAGACCAGCCAGGAGGGAGTTGCAGTAGTCTAGGCGTGAGATGACGAGAGCCTGGACCAGAAGTTGCGTCATTTTCGGGGTCAGGAAGGACGTATCCTTCTGATGTTGTTAAGAGTGTATCTGCAGCAGCGGGTTGTAGCAGCGATGTTTGCAGTGAAGGACAGGTTGCTATCTAGGGTCACACCCAGATTCCTTGCAGTCTGAGTCGGGGAAACAACAGAGGGGCCGATGTTGATTGTTAGGTCAAGAGTGGGACAATCTTTTGCCGGAAGAAAAACAGTTCAGTCTTGTCAAGGTTGAGCTTGAGGTGGTGAGCAGACATCCACTGAGAGATGTCAGCTAGACAAGCAGAGATGCGTGCGACGACCTGGGTCTCTGAGCGGGGAAAGGACAGAATGAATTGGGTGTCGTCAGCGTAGCAGTGGTATGAAAAACCATGCGGGCTAATGACTGATCCGAGCAAGTTTGTGTTCAAGGAGAAGAGGAGGGGACCAAGAACAGAGCCCTGAGGGACCCCTGTAGTTAATTGACAAGGGTCGGACTCTGACCCTCTCCAAGTTACCCTGTAGGTGCAGTCTTTGAGGTATGAGGTGAGGAGGGAAAGTGCAGAGCCTGAAACTCCAAGTTCTTGGAGAGTGCGAAGGAGGATCTGATGATTCACCGTGTCGAATGCAGCAGACAGGTCCAGAAGGATGATGACAGAGGAGAGGGAGGCTGCTTTAGCCGTGTGCAGTTCCTCAGAGATGTATATTATATTTTTTCATTTTCGGTGCGTTGAACTTTTTTAAATGTATTTGTTTAGCCGCGACGAGCAAACAAACTGACTCAGGAGCAGCGACCAAGAAGAAGAAACCTGCAGCTGGTAAACACACACACACACACACACACACACACACACACACACACACACACACACACACACACACACACACACACACACACACACACACACACACACACACACACACACACACACACACACACACACACACACACACACACACCAGAGTTCCCGTTAGAATATTTTTTTGCCAGTCAAAATGTCCGTTAAAGTTGAAATCTTCCGGACAAAATTAGAAAAGTGCCGGTCAAAGGTCTTCTTTGTTATTTATTGAGCTTTAAAACAAATTGATATGATTCGATATTAAACAAACTAATTATAGTAGATCGATCAGATCTAGCTAGTTCTAGCTAATGATATGACTACCTGCTTATTAAAAGACACCTAAACAATAAGCGTCGCTATGCAACCGGGTGAGGCCACAAAGTATAGCGCAGCATTATGCATTTGTTTACATGCCCACCGGAACCCCGAGGCATTACCAACAGATCAACGCACAATCAACCCATACAGGACATCTCTTTTTCCACATTAAGTGTTAGACATTAGAATTGACTATTCTTGTCTGTCACATACTATTCTTGTCTTTCACATAAGTGGCGCAACTGATGCGATATTGTGCTAACTAAGGGGAAATTATTTTGACCGGACATTTTGACCGGAGAGATTTAGATTTGCCGGTCTTCAGCATATTTTACCGGTCAAAGTCCGGTAATTACGGCTAACGGGAACTCTGACACACACGCATAGTAAATACATTATTTATCATGTGTTATTATTATATTTATCATTTTCGGTGCGTTGAACTTTTTAAAATGTATTTGTTTAGCGGCGACGAGCAAACAAACTCAGGAGCAGTGACCAAGAAGAAGAAACCTGCAGCTGGTACACACACACACACACACACACACACACACACACACACACACACACACACACACACACACACACACACACACACACACACACACACACACACACACATTATTTATCATATATTATTATTATTATTTGATCATTTTCAACCAAATGGACCAGGAAGATTTCTAAAGTTTTTTTTTTTAATCTCGTGTTTGTTCAGAGGTTTCCGGTGGCAGTGGTGAAACCCCCGTCAGGAATGACTCCACCCGGAAACTCACCCTGAGCCCACAGGTAGAAAATGTGCTCGGACTGGTTTGTTTTTCTGTCAGCACAACAAGGGAAAAACACCCAGCCTGATTATCAAGAATGAATGGCTTCCTTGTTTGACACTTCAGCCAGGATGGCTGAAGTGTCAAACAAGGAAGCCATTCATTGTTGGAGTATTTAACAATCAATGGGCAGATCCACTATGTTTGCCAAAGTGCTGCATTCAAGAGGTACAACAGGAAAACCCCATGGTGGTTTACTCATGGACTCAAGTACTGTACTTAGTAGGGGTGGGAATCACCAGGCTCCCCATGATCAGTGGCGGCGCCAGGGTATGGCTCGGGTAGGCTACAGCCATACCAAGAAATGGCTTAGCCCCACCTTACCCCTAGATTCCACCGGGCCCGTCTGCGCCGCATTGCGGTTTTGGTCCGGCCTCCTCCGGCGTCATGCCCTACCAGGCGCGTTTCAGAAGCATTTCAGAAGCGGAGCGTCTTGCCTGCCGGCTCGCAGTTTTTGTTTATTTGGGCATATTTCCTGGACAGGCTACTTTGTAGAGACAAAGTTAATAATAACTGTAATATTCCAGTTATAAACGACATGAATCAAAGATGTGTTGCTGTATTTTAGTGGTAAAAAAATGCATTCATCATCATAATTATTCTATATATATAATTTACACAGTGCCTGTAAACCGGAGGAGAACGCTGGCATTTCTCCTCCTACTTGAAAGACTACGGAGGGATAGGGTCTGCAAAATTAGTTTGTGTGTGTGTATATATCTATATATATATGCTATATATGCTCTGAAAGTTCCACTTCCTGCCTGCCCGACCTTACGTTACGGCTGCGCCGCGACAAAAATAGGATTCGATCCTAATTTTAGAGGAGCCCTGCGCCGAGCCGCTTCTGGGACGCTTCTGAGCCGTAACGCGCCGCGTGTGGTGGAATAGCACCCATTGACTAGAGTGGCCGCGATCGCCGTGAGCACCGCGGCGCAGCCGTAACGCGCCCGTAACGCGCCGCAGACGGACCCGGTGGAATCTAGGGGTTAGCCCCACCATGAAAAATGATGTTAAAGTAAGCAAAATAAAGTCCGTCAACTCGCGCGGAGTAAATTGCACAGACAGCAGTTAGTAAGATTGATTTCAGTAGCCACTTGTCTGGAAATACCGAAGACTAGAAACGGTTTTGAAAACTTTTGTCACGTAGTGATCTTCTTCTCAATAAAGCATCTTTGATAATGTCTTCTGGCCAATCAGAATCACGATAACGGCGTGGTGTTGTTGCAGGAAGTCCCGACGGAGAATACTTTAGCGGTAGTACATCTCTATATACATCGATACAACATTACGTGAAATAAGACCCCACGGTTTGATGATTGATAGGTGTGTGGGCTGTCTTTCATTTTGACACACAGAACAATGGGGGCTATCCACCCTTATCCACAATGTAATTCACACAGCCTCTTCCCCTTTCTCTCTGAGGAGCAGCAGGTTCAGCTTTCAGAACAAAGTAACAAAAAACAAAAATGGCATTCATTTTTTTAAATATGTAGTAATAGATTTATTTATTTTTCTTTTCAAGAGAATACCAGAATGTGTATTTTATGTTAGTATTTCAAAAAATCTCCTGGGGGAGAATCCCCCCAGACCCCCCTGCAGGGGTTGGGTTTTCAGCATGTCAACTCTTTCACCTGTGGGGAAATTGCAGGATTGGCTCCAGGTCGCCCTTTTTATTTACTACAAGACAAATGTGCCTTTTTATTTCATACAGTTCAATTTGGATTGAGACAGGGAAATAATCTAAACCTCACGCGTGGCGTTTCACTGTCAAGGGGGGCGATATAGCGTGTATGTAATTACATTGCAAATACTGACTTGAGCCCCACCACTGTATGGGTTAGCCCTACCATAGATTACCCAACACAAATACTCTGGAGCCGCCACTGCCCACGATATGATACTATTGCGATACTTAAGCCACGATACGATAGTATTGCGATTCTACGATATGCTAAGTATTGCGGTACGATATATTGCGATATTGCAGATCACATGGGTCATGTCCATGTCCGTCTTCCCTTCCTGGTTAAAACATATATTTGCAATATGAATAGTTTATGTAAATAACCCAATGTGTGTTCTTTGAACCTGAAAAGGACATGGCATTGTTTTTGTTACTTTCATTGCGATTGTATACATGTCTTAACGTAACTTCCTGTTTTATATAAACATGCTTTTATTTTGAAGGCGACTTTGCGCTATTAGCAGAAAGTTCAGCTAAATAACCAACCAATCCAGCTTTATAATCCTGAACGTCACCAAGCACTCCAGTCCCAGCTGTGTGCGTCACTTTTTAGTGTCCCCTGGTCTCCCAGCTGTGTGCGTCACTTTTTAGTGTCCCCATGTCTCCCAGCTGTGTGCGTCACTTTTTAGTGTCCCCTGCTCTCCCAGCTGTGTGCGTCACTCTTTCATATTCTGACTTTTTCCTAAAAATTCTGACTTTTTCCCTGGAAAACACTGTTAAACAAACATTGCATTTTGTATATGATATATGTTATAATTTGCTTAGTTATTCAACCTTCGACACAGTTCATCATTTTCTCTTCTCACTGTCTCCTTTCCCACGGCATAGGTCTACGGCCTTGGGTATTGCTGCTATCTCTCTCGAGGAGCGGCAGCCTGGGCGCATTGTTGTTGCCAGTCTATGACAGAACACAAGCCGCCATGAGGTAGTTTACTGTTCAGGGACGTAGGTTCCCTGACGCACATTCTTTTCTATGGACGAGAGCTCTAGTTAGATTCAGGGTCCATAATTGTTTAGTCTCACTGATGAAGAATGTTGATTATTACACTCCGAACTAGTTAAAACCTCGAGCTACAGAAAGAGTTCTTCAGAATTGGTTTGGCAACCGCTGGGTCAACTCGTGACACACCACCTGTCTTGTCAATTCTCTGGCCGTAACTCCAAATAAACCATCAGTGTTTGCCATCAAAGCTCCAGCTCTCCTAGTGCCTCTCTGAGTCCTGTTTCCAATTGCTTCAGAAGTTTCCACCACAATATATATGATACACATAACGCTTCCGTTCACATAACAGTACATGTTTCCGTAAACATTTGCACACATTACATTACATTACATCTCACTTGTTAGACACTTTTATCCAAAGCGACTTACATACTCAATACTGTGGGCAATCCCCACAGGAGCAATTTGGGTGAAGTTTCTTGCCCAGGGACACAACGACATGCTGACTGCAGTGGGGTTTGAACGTATGTGTAAAGAAGCAGAATATAAAAGGAACTCACCTAGTGGTATAACCCGAGAGAGAAAAAGAGTTTGAGCTCCATACTGTTTCAGAAATCATGCTTGATGTGGTTTGGAACATGATATTACGTTTAATCACGGCAGCGTTTAGCAGCCTTCTCTTCAGAGAGCTCACTGCTTGCATGCTCCAAAGGGGCGTGGCCAGCAGCAGCTCCAAAGGGGCGTGGCCAGCAGCAGCTCCAAGGGGCGTGGCCAGCAGCAGCTCGGTTACATTTAAAGGGCCAGAATCAACACATTAGTAACAGGGCTGAAATAGAGGGGGATGAGGCTAGAATGGGTGATCTGTTTGGTATTTTGAGCAAAACACTTCAGAGACATGTTATGTATAGATATGGCCCTATAATATATTGTTAAAATATAGCATAATAGGTGAGCTTTAACTCCTTTAACCGTAATTAAGGCCTTATTTTAGACCAATGGGATCAATGCTGTTGAACATCTCTGAGGATCTCCTAAAGAGGGATCATGTTCAGGTGATATGAACATTTAGAGCCTCTACTTTCACAGGGACCATACCTGCAGCTGACTCAGGAGCAGCGACTAAGAAGAAAGAACCTGCAGCTGGTACACACACACACACACACATAAATACTAAAAAGGAATCTAACTTCGATACAACCAACGTTAATATCTAGGTGGTGTCCGATACCGAGCTCCGGTGCTGATAAGGCTCCGGAAAACGGCCGTCCTAACTCTTGGACTAAACAAGATCACCGTAATCTGCTTAGGGGGGCGCTTACCAGCTGCCCGTTCTATCACTTATTTCAGGCACTAAAGCGTCGGTCTCTGACCACCAGGATAGCAAAACGGAGTGTATAGTGTAGTAGGTGTTGGTGGGCTGATAGAACCCCAGAGCAGTATCTAAACTGCCCCTGGAGGAGAAACCCTGTGTCGTTGGGGGACTCCCTGGTAATTAGGGCAGCTTCAGGACCCACAATCCCTAACCCCCTCTTTTGATCCCCAGTTATACCAATTAAAACAATGCAAGTGTAATATCCAACATAGCCAGAGTCAGACTTTAATATCACAGCAGTGACATTACCACATCAGCAGAGCATATGTCATATTTCAGCATCAATCAAAACCACATCAACCACAGTAACCAATGTGAAACTACAGTTTAACCTTAGCAGAGTTTCTATTCCCCTTAAACAATTTCAAATCCAAATGATCAACTAATATCAGCCTTTTCCAAGGAATGGTGTTCTTACCTCACTCTAAGACCATGCAGATACCTTCAGAGACCACCACAGAGACCATTGGGTCGAAATGTACAAAGTACAAACCGGTTTTATTAAGTTTTTAACAAAATAGTGGATTTACAAGAATCCAAAAAATAACAAAAGAAAGATACAAAATGGTTTTACAAGGACACAAGGTCAAAGTACAA